CGTGTTATACGGGGGTTACCTGTAATTAATTTGACTAGAGGTAGGCAGTTATGCTGCCATCTCGTATTAAATTTAATGATCAATTTCAAATTAAATTTTTAAAATGTCTAAATTAAAAATTAATTATTTATAATTATTAAATTTAATACAAGATGGCAGTATAACTGCCTACCTCTAGTTAAATTAATTAATTTCTAATACTTAATTATAGCCTTTACATAGCCCAAGAGTTTGGCATATTGTTATATTATATAACAGATGATGGTTGTTGATGTTTATGCGTGATATGTCTGAACACAAGCAACACTAAGATGCTAGTGGAACGAGTGCTAAACACAGACTGATGGAGCATGCGCACAATCCGGGACTTCCTTTCTCCTCATCACTCATTATGCAAAACATCACTCGTTAAGCAAGTTATTTTTTTACAATTTCTTTTGCTCGTTAAGCAAGGTTCCACTATATCTCACTATAAAACTGATACTTAAGTTTTTGCTTTGTTGAGGAAATAAAAACAGTATAGTTTAATTTTCTGTTTACTTGAAAAATTTTGGACATAAACACTAAACAGGTTATATCATTTGTCTCAATTTCATCAATCACTGAGAAATCAATTTACAGAATAGCAACATAAATATGGATGGGAATAATTCCCAACCTCAATTAAACATCAAGGCAATCTAAATTCAGATTTTCTAATAGAAGCAGAATTGATTTCTATATCCATTTAATAACTTCATGTCACAATAAAAAAATTACTAAAATAATTTTTAACTTACAAATTCAACCACTTCCTCTTTTTTCTTTTCAATTAATGGCTGTATATCTGTTATAAATATTTGCCACCATCTATCAAGATGTTCTTGCATACAAGATGAATCTGAATCATATGTAATATTTTTTGTTTCTTCATTATAACTATGCATCCATGGTTTAATACTACCTAAGAAATGAACTATCTTCACATTTTTACCAAACCTATTAGAAAAGATAATTTAAAAGATACAAATAAAATCCATAAAATAGAGTAAACAATTTAAAATAATTAAACAAAACTTACTGTTTATAGGCTGGCATGTAAGTATACATAGCATTAGCATTCATATTATAAATAAATGATAAATGGCAATGAATATCTTTAATTGCCCAATTAGAAAAATAGGTGTTTAAAAGTCCTTGATCACCACCTGGTAAAATCCACAAACAGTTGTAGTGAAGTATCAATTGGTTTAGAGTGTTCTTAAATATTACATTTTCAAATTAAGACCTATTAACAAGTACTTGACTCATTTTGTCACTTCAACTTTATTCTATAATTTCTCCAATCATGCAAAAGAGTAATTATGAAATAAAATTGGACTGACAAAGCAAAGTCAAATGTTGATAGAATGTCTTAATCCAAGATAATTAAATCAAAAAGCAGTTTTTAATAATTTATTTTTTAAATATATAAATATTTCAAATACTTTTCTACTATATAAATATAGAATATTTATTAAATTATATTATTATTATGCATAAAAATATTTTATAAAAATATTTAAAAACAGTGTATTTAAAAATTTCATTAAGTTATTTTTATATTCATTATAACCAAATATAAAACTATAAACTTTTTAAAATCACTTTATTTACTTATTTAATTTTAGAGTAAAGCATTATTTATATAACTATTTATTTAAAATAATATAATAATTTTGATTTCCTATACATTTGATATGATTGAAAACAGTGACATTATTATTATTAGAATTTGTCTATAAAAATTTAAATAAAATATGTTCTTGTAAATAATAATAAAAATAACATTAAACNTAATTTAAAATTGCTTTTTGAGATGATAATTTCATTCTTGATTGAAAATTTTTGATTATATAATGATCGATTTTAGTTACATATATCTTTAGTTTGTAAGTACCTTTCCTAATAATAACAAAAAGCTTATTTAAAGGAATGTACACCCCACTCAAATTGATAAACTAAAGCGATTGATTGGAATAGACATAATATTGTAAAGAATAGTCTAGATATAAGACTTAGAATAGTATTTAGAGAGAGAGAGACTTTATTAGAGATATGTATTTGTTAACATACTACCTTTAAAAGGAACAATACTTTGGTGAAAAAGAACTTTGCCCCAAAATGGATTTCAATGACCCTGGAGTCATACAACCTTTAATGAACTCAACCACCTGAACTTTTGTGGTTATGTTAAATGAAATTTTAGCAGAAAAGGAAGTGTGTCAACATACAGGAAGAAGACACATTATAACATTTTGAACTGCACAGTGAACTTTGAACTGTTTGCAGGTGCTTTTTGAAACAAGAAGACATCACATGATCTTCTAATATACTTGAATTTGTGAAACTATAAGAAGTCAGCCAACAGAGTGTGCTGCCATAGAGACTCTCAGCAACAGAGAGGTGCATTCGAAACAAGTGACGAACTATGTTCACTTTTACCGTCAATTCAAGACGAAGACACCTGTGGTCATTATGTTTATTTTAGTAATACTATTAATCTGATGAATTGTTTATTATATTATTTCCATGTATTTCAATTTTGAATTTAATTTGAATTATTGTATACTTTTATGATTTCAGTATTATGTGTAATGCAATTTTTAGAGAGAGAGAGTGAAATTCGAATTTATGTATTGCAGTGAAAAATCACGCCTTCTTTAAATGTAGTGTGATTTTTGAAGATAAGGGAGTAATGTGAGATCCGGAAGGCCCCTGGGCCTCATTTGTGAATTTTTATTAATATGTTTAAATTATCGACAAAATATTATTTCATTTTGTGTGAAAAAAAAACTGGTGTTTTAGACGTGGGAAAATAGATGACAGATGACACTTCCTTTCCACAGAAGAGAACATCCGCTGTTTTTCCCTTATCCNATTTTTAATTGTGTTTTTACAACTAAATTCTTGTTTATATTTCATATTATTTTAATTTAATAATTTTTTTGTGATAAATATTTACAAGTACAGTAAAACCTCAATTATCCAAGCCCCAATTAACTGAGGTTCTGCATTATCCAAGGCAAATCTGTACATGAATAAACTAAATACTCTTCTTACACTAAATATTTTTCTAATTCATAAAAACTGCAATGTGTCAAGCACTTAAATATTGTAGTACTTTTAACTTAGATTGTACTCTTAAAGTACTTTTTACAGGAAGTTTAAATCAATAACATGTATTACAAAATGATTTTTTCTGTTACCTCATATTATTTAATCTCAATGTCAGGCAAACCAATCATATTAAAATGTTCATATTAAATAAATACAACCTCACCATAAACTGGAACTGTAATATTCGCAAATCACACATAAATTCAAAATTTCCAGCAAATAAAAGTCAAAAATACACATCGAATGTTTTCGGTCACTAAATTTATCGGCCTTCTCAGGAAATATAAACTGGAAAAACCGTTCTATAAATAGAACTTAGCTGCCTTTTAAATTTTTTAAAAGAACAAAAACGGCTGTGACGTATCTTGTATGATGTATATTATGAGTCTAGATAGCGTTTCCATGCTGATGATACAGGAATGCCATCCGTGTTGATGCAATTTCCACTCATGCTCGCCTTGTAGATCTCTACTGCTTCTAAAATTTTTATATTTTACCTGTCGAAAACCTTGTATATTAGCCTGACCTGGTCACAACAGAGGGAAATACCCCGAATTGCTGGCATACCGTGCTAAAGCCGTATTGATGTTACCTTTTAGCACGTCATATTTGTGATCTTTTAGTCTGGCTTGTAGTGATCTGTATGTGGATCTTATGTAAGCTAGTAATCTGTCAAACCTCTCGTCATATAGGGGGATGTGGTAAATCCCAGGAGCCAGAGCGTCTTCAGTGTTGTCCTTCGTGTTTGAGAGAAGGCAGAAAACGGTGGGTTTCCTTCTATAGGCAAGGAGTACATTTAAAATATTTGCGATCCTTCTATATATGCGATGTAGTGTCGGTTCATAGTCTAAGATCACCCGATTTGCTTCTGCTTTGTTAACCCTGTTAGATGATTGAGATAGATATTTGGATGCCAGACTGTCAATAAATGGGCGGCCATATCCATGGTTGTATGCTACCTGTTTGAGATGTTCCAGTTCCTTGTTGGTATCAGACAACTGTGTAGAATGGGAGTAAGCTCTGGCCACAAGAGTGCAGAATGCGGATGTCTTATATGCTCATGGGTCCGCTGAACTGGAAGGTATGAATAGAGGGATGGAAGTAGCCTTGTGGTAAATTGCTGTGACGAATTTGCTATCAGCTACTTGAATCCTGATATCTAAGAAATTAATGCTATTACTGCTCTCCTGATCCAACTTTAGTGTTAATCCGTAGCTGTTATTATTAAACATTTTTAACACATCCCCAATATTAGGACGTTTTCTCCATACAATTAAAATGTCATTGACATATCTGGTGTACAGAAGGATGTTATGCTTGATGTTTTTTAATGACCGCTCCTCCAATTGTCGTAGGACTAATTCACAAAGATCCCCTGAGATAGGGCTACCCATGGGTACTCCACGTTTTTGGATGTAGGTATGTTTCTCTCAACTAAAAACCTTTCAATCTCCAGTGTTCTTCTTCTTGGAAAACGTTTTCAACCCTACCAGGGTCTTCTTCAGGCCACTGTTTTAATAAATTCAAACAGTACAAAATCGAACAGGAACCGAATAAATGCGATTCAAATCCTAGAATGTCAACGTTAATATCAAAAATATAGAACACCACGCTCTTGCATCAATGACGTCAAAGCTTGCGTAAGTTGTGCTTGTAATAAATCCACATTACACCAATTACGTGTGGGTTGTTCCTTCATAGCAAAATTTCCATGCACTAGAGATGTTGACTGCGTCTTTAGAGTTAATACATATGTTGTTTAATCCCGCTTTATAAATTTCTAAGGTCTCCATAATCCTTAGTTGGTCTACACGGTGTGATAGCCTAACTAGACGTGCATTCTGTAGATCAACCTTTATTCCAGGTTCTGTGGCTATGGTTGAAAGGGTGGTGGTGTGTTTATTATTATCTATATCACACTTATGCTCCTGGAGACGTTTACGAAGGGAGCGCTTGGTCGATCCCACATACACTAACCTATTATTAAATCTGTCATCCCAAAGGGGGATAGAATATATTCCCGGTGCGCTTTCCAAGTCAAGCCTATCTTTCCCGTTGCGGAGTAAGCTATAAATAGATCTTGGCCTACTGTACGCTATTTTATTATTAGTGCGGGAAGAGATTTCTCTGTATAACTTGTCAAGATGGTGGTTGTACTCTACTATTTTTCTTTTATTATTTCCATCAAGGGGAACATCTGGGATGTCAGGAGTATTGCGCATGCTCCTCTGTATATACGTTCATGCTATATTATATACCAAGTTTTCACTGTATCCATGTTGCGTGGCCATTTCTTGGATGTTATCAAGCTCAGCTATGGTGTAATCCCATTCGGAATGGTGGGTGAATGCCCTTATAGTCAACGCCCTAAGTGCCGCTATCTTATAGGAGTAAGGATCTTCTGAGTTGGCGGGGATGAACATTGGTACATAGCATTTTTTGTAAAAAACTTTGAAAGAAATCCTATTATTCATTAATTGAATGTCCAAGTCAAGAAAGTGTGCGGCTCTATTGCTTTTTTGGTCTAGTTTAATTTTTAGGCCATATGGGTTGTTGTTCATTTCACTTATGAAAATATTTATGTTAGGTTAGGTTATGTTAGAGTTGAGGAATCTCAGCATCACTGACTCCACTTATATCACAGTCCTGGAGTTTGTTTCGCTGTACCCATCCATAAAAATCCAACCGTGTTTCTGCGAGTTCAGGGATTTACTGCTCGCATACCCAGGCGCCGTGGCTGAGCGAAAACATGTTTTAGAGCTAGCGCACATGCTGTGTTACTCATCTTTCTTCCGGTTTAACAACAAAATGTACATACAAAAACGGGGTGTCCCAATAGGGAGCCCTCTTTCAGGTGATTTATGCCAGATGGTAATAAGGAAGCTTGAGCAACAAATCATCCCTTGTTATAATTCCAACATACTCCTGTACAGGAGATATGTTGATGACGTCCTGGTCATATGGAGAAAAGAATTTAACATAAATATTTTCATAAGTGAAATGAACAACAACCTATATGGCCTAAAAATTAAACTAGACCAAAAAAGCAATAGAGCCGCACACTTTCTTGACTTGGACATTCAATTAATGAATAATAGGATTTCTTTCAAAGTTTTTTACAAAAAATGCTATGTACCAATGTTCATCCCCGCCAACTCAGAAGATCCTTACTCCTATAAGATAGCGGCACTTAGGGCGTTGACTATAAGGGCATTCACCCACCATTCCGAATGGGATTACACCATAGCTGAGCTTGATAACATCCAAGAAATGGCCACGCAACATGGATACAGTGAAAACTTGGTATATAATATAGCATGAACGTATATACAGAGGAGCATGCGCAATACTCCTGACATCCCAGATGTTCCCCTTGATGGAAATAATAAAAGAAAAATAGTAGAGTACAACCACCATCTTGACAAGTTATACAGAGAAATCTCTTCCCGCACTAATAATAAAATAGCGTACAGTAGGCCAAGATCTATTTATAGCTTACTCCGCAACGGGAAAGATAGGCTTGACTTGGAAAGCGCACCGGGAATATATTCTATCCCCCTTTGGGATGACAGATTTAATAATAGGTTAGTGTATGTGGGATCGACCAAGCGCTCCCTTCGTAAACGTCTCCAGGAGCATAAGTGTGATATAGATAATAATAAACACACCACCACCCTTTCAACCGTAGCCACAGAACCTGGAATAAAGGTTGATCTACAGAATGCACGTTTAGTTAGGCTATCACACCGTGTAGACCAACTAAGGATTATGGAGACCTTAGAAATTTATAAAGCGGGATTAAACAACATATGTATTAACTCTAAAGACGCAGTCAACATCTCTAGTGCATGGAAATTTTGCTATGAAGGAACAACCCACACGTAATTGGTGTAATGTGGATTTATTACAAGCGCAACTTACGCAAGCTTTGACGTCATTGATGCAAGAGCGTGGTGTTCTATATTTTTGATATTAACGTTGACGTTCTAGGATTTGAATCGCATTTATTCGGTTCCTGTTCGATTTTGTACTGTTTGAATTTATTAAAACAGTGGCCTGAAGAAGACCCTGGTAGGGTTGAAAACGTTTTCCAAGAAGAACACTGGAGATTGAAAGGTTTTTAGTTGAGAGAATTATATTACCTCCAGTATTAGAAGGGAAGTTCATTAGTTGTAGGCAGTGATGACATTTGAAATATTTAACAAAGGGTTCGCTAACAGAAAATTTTTCCTTAACAATTTTTTTTCGCTCAAATGGTGCATCGGAAGGCTCTATTTTAGTAGTGTTACAGAGAATAATACGTATATTTTAATATTTTTAAAAGAATCAAAACCATTGAGAAATGTTACATGTGTTTAACAAGGTTCGGAAAACTTTGAAAATGTTAACAACGGGTTCGGCCGAACCTGTGCGAACCCGCTGAATATCACCACTGGTTGTAGGTATGTTTGTTAAATCAAAAACAGGATAAATACATAAGAAGTGAGTAAGCTCTAATATCTGTGAGTGGTACGATTGTGCATCAGGGATAGAGTTTAGAAAGTAATCTCTCAATGCGCAGAAGCAAGGTTCCAACCTTATAGACGGAAACATGGAAATAAAATCGAAGACTGTAAGGTATTTGTCTCCATTTAAACTAATGGCCGCCAGTTTGGAGAGAAGGGCACCTGAATCTGAGATTGTGTACTTGTAACGTTCGATGTGTATTTTTGACTTTTATTTGCTGGAAATTTTGTATTTAGGTGTGATTTGCAAATGTTCATATTAAAATATTCTTTCTCTTTTTGAGATTCTGCACAATCTCACAATCTGAGAGGATCAAAAACCTAATGGGATTGAAGGAGATGGTTTTGAAAGAAATACAGAGGAAACAAATTTGGTTTGGACACTTGAAAAGAATGAGTGATGAGAGACTCCCGAAAATGCAAATGAAATACATTCCACAAAAAAAGAAAAAGAGAGGAAGGCCCAGGTAAACTTGGTATGATGGAGTAAAGTTAGCATGTAATGAAAATGGGCTTAAAGAGGAATGGTGTATGAATAGAGAGAGATGGAGAGGGTTCCTGAAGGTGATGTCAGATGCCATAAACTGAAGAGAGGTAGATATTAAAATATTAAATTTAATATTTTATATTAAAAAAAATTTAATATAAAATCATTTAATACTAAAATATGTATAACTAGCAGACCCCGCCACATGTTGTTGTGGCTCAAAATGTATCTATTATAAATGTATAACACTTCCCCCGTAGGGGGGAAATTTTTCAAAAAATTTCTTCTTGGTGTACATTCTCTCGACGTACCCTATTAAAACACAATCAAAAATGCAAAAACCCGCATCTAAAATAGTATAATAGAAGTCAAGTTCTTCACGGTAAGCCTTAATCCTAACCATCTCCCTTCAGTGGGGGGAATTTCGACATGCATATTATATAAAAACACGTGCATAAATGCAGTGTTGTGTCAAAATTTCAAAGGAATCAGTAGGAACAAATGAACATTACATTTTTATTTATATAGATAGATAGAAGATGATCCACTTTAGTTCAATTTTACAGAAAAGCATAATGCCTCACAGAAAAGCAAACTTAGGACGTTGTACTTGTAGCGCCATCTGTTGGACATAAAAGCCTTAATCTAGATGATATCTTTTAATTTATATGAATGTTTAACAAAATAATATACATCTTATGTCCACCCTGAAGTTCCATTCTAAATATTGGTGAAAGAATTTATGAAATCAGATGAGTAGTTTCAGAGATTACCCGCTACATCCAAACTTACTTACTTACTTACAAACATTACCTTTTATAATATTAGTATAGATATAGATAAAATATACATATTTTTGTTCTTAAAACTAATGTATGTATTAGCTGAATGATGTAAAAAATGTTTTCAGATATGATTAAATTCACAAAGGTAAAAAAAAGAGGCTTAATTAAATGTGATACTGTATATTTTATATTCATAATTTTAAATGGGTGTTGTTGTCCATTTTATCTAATTTTTCTGTTATCCAAGGTAGTATTGGTCCACATTATCTCAGATAATTGAGGTTCTACCATAATTATTTTTAATTAGGCATATAATGTAAACTAAAAATTGATAAATAAACTGATGGTATCTAGAATAAAAAGAAAAAAATAATAAAAATAAACAGATGATAACTCTCTACTTATATATTTAGTTGCAAAAATCACTGTTTGGTACAAGTTTAAATACAATACTTTTTAAAATCAAATTATTTCAAATATAAAATTCCTTCTTCTAAAACTTCATGGCAGTATGATTTCTTTGCAATAAAATTATCCCAAGCCATATTTAATTATTCTTGAAAAATTATCCATGTTTTAAAAAAATCTCAATAAACTGACTAAAAATCATAATAAAAGAAAAAAATTGTAATATTTATTTATTATTTTTGATATGTTAATATTTTTAAATACTAATTTATATTTTAAGTTCTACAACTGTTTTCATTATAAAACTATTTTAGCTATTCTGTTTCTAAAATATTTATCCTAATTTTATTTCAATTTTAATTAAACAAACCTAAAATATAGTGTTTTATGATAAAATGTATCAATAATGTCCCAGTTCAGAAATTTTTCGAGATGACACAATAAATTTATAGAATAAAAATTTAAAAATTATTTTTCTCTACATAACTTTCTGAACATATGCAGAATCTTCCAGAAAGAATTCTATCATTTTAAATTACTGTGATTATGTTAATTATTATCTGAGAAGCATATGATATACATGAATTGATACAGTAACTGTCTGAGTTTCATCTCCTATCTGCATTCAAATGTCTCACTGTCTATTTCTGGGAAGTGCTGTAAATGAAAATGGCAATTTGTAACAGAGAAAGCATTCTGCATTCTGCAGTTTTCAAAGTTGGAATCCATTCATCATTGTGCAATATGAGTAATCTGTGGGACTGTGGCTGCTGTGAGGGGATCAACAACAGATATGCTATAGTGAATGTAGAAAGAATTTGAGTATCAGTTGGATATGTGCCATGTGACATAAGGTGCACACACTGAGAAAGTATAATGGCCAAATGTGAAACTTGGACTGTTTTCCAATGCCTTATGCATATTAAAATGTTCTCAAATAACAACTAACATAATTACAATAATTCAAAATGGTAACATTCTTTTTGGAATGCCCCATAAAAATTATAAAAGTTTAAAACAAGAAATTTTTCAAAATTAAATCTACCATCAAAACTTCCTTTCTCATTTGCAAGATGAACAAGTTTCTTGTAAGTCTCTTCAGATGGCTTAAATACAAAAACACCAGAATTAAAACAATCTGGCCAACCAACATCTGCAACAGCCGACAATTCTTCTTTTTCAAATAATTCATCACAGTTTTGCAAAACCTAAAATATTTATTTTAATGAAAAAAAAAAAAAATAGTAATTGCAGATGTTGTGCTAAGAAATAAAATTAAATATATAAATATTTTAAAATTTATCAGCAAATTTATATATCATAGTTAAGAATTAATTAGAATAATATTTTACTTAAAATAATATAAACAAAATAATATAAAACAAAACATCAATGAAGAATCTACAAATAAATATCCAAAATTTGTTACGTGAAATCAGCATAATTTTTTTTATTAAAAATTATATTAAAGTTGATTTTACATTACTTGAAAGTAAAAAATCTATATATTTTAAACTAATAATATATTTTATATATTTTAAACGAATTTCACATTTTCATAACACTTGAAGAATACATTTCATTTAGCTATTATCTTAAATTGATGGGGTCTTTTACGCATCAAGTATGAATTGCTTGACATGTAAAAGATCATCATAAACATATTTTTTTTAAAAACTGGCAGATATAAAAATTTATGCTTTGAAATTGTGAGATCCGAAAGGCCCATGGGCCTCATTTATGAATTTTTATTAATATGTTTAAATTATCGACAAAATATTATTTCATTTTGTGTGAAAAAAAAACTGGTGTTTTAGACGTGGGAAAATAGATGACAGATGACACTTCCTTTCCACAGAAGAGAACATCCGCTGTTTTTCCCTTATCCGTTAAAAATCTCGCTCAGATGGGAAATGGTTACCCCTCATTCATCCCCCTTTCATCCGTTCTCACGAAAGAGTTACTGAACGATGATTGGACGAAATTTTGAGATAAAAGGAGAAATTAGTCAGAATTCGAGGAGTTCTCCGACCGATTGAAAGTGTCCAAACTCCACATACGTTTTCCTCCTGATGGCCAACGCCCATAACGGAGTCCGATAGACGAAGTCCGAGTCTACACTTAGAGGAAGTGATAATTTTATATTTTATGCACGAATTAATCTCCCATACGAAAGAAAGATGAACCCTATCTACAAGGTGTCCTATATCTACAGAAACGAAGACGACAACTAACAGGTCGTATGTTTAGAATCATTTTGTGAGCTCTCTCTCGATCGCGCATTAGCATAGATTTAGTCGTAACCTTTAACTTGTCATATAATCGTTGTTATTGATTTTCTGTATTCGTTGTTTGGATTTATTAAATTTTACTTATGTTTATTATATAAGAATGTCTCCTCAATTCATTCCGAATCAGATC